TTAAAATACGGGGAACAACGGCTGATGCCCGGAAAGGAGGGCTTATTTGGAGAGTCATGGCGTTTGGGAGACAGAGCAGAGGCACTGAGAGGCAAGTGGTCTTGTTTGTTCTGTGCATTTGCGTGTGTCAGAGCGGGGCCGAAACCCTCCGCTATTCTCTAGTGGAGGAAACGGAGAGGGACTCCTTTGTCGGCAATATCGCAAAGGACCTGGGTGTTTCTCCGAGCCAGCTCGTGTCTCGCAAGGCCCGCGTTGTGTCTGAGGGGAACGAGCAGTATTTCCGCCTCAATCTAAACACCGGAGTCCTGACGGTAAAGGAGACGCTGGACCGAGAGGCGATCTGTCCGCAGAACGATATCTGCACACTCTTCTTTAAGATATTCTTTGAAAATCCGGTGCAGCTGATCCGAGGGGAGGTGGAGGTTCGTGACGTGAACGACAACTCCCCCATGTTCCCGGAGAAGGAAATGGTTTTAGAGATTCTGGAAACGGCATCCCCTGGGTCTCGTTTCCCCCTAGAAAGAGCACGCGATAAGGACGTGGGGAGCAATGGCTTGCAGAACTACAGCCTCGGGTCCAATTCGCATTTTTCCCTGGCTCTTGGAACAGGGAAAGGTGGAGCGAAATACCCTGAACTCATCCTACAGAGTCAACTGGACCGCGAACATCAGCGGGAGGTGAATTTACTCCTGACCGCCACCGACGGGGGCACGCCACCCAAGTCGGGCACGGCTCAGGTCCGGATCATGGTGCTGGATGCCAACGACAACATCCCGGTCTTCTCACGGGAAGTCTACGAGGTCCGCGTGGCCGAAAACAGCCCGCCAGAGCAGCTGGTTGTCAGGGTCACGGCCGCGGATCCCGACGAAGGGTCCTACGGCAGAGTACGGTATACCTTCACCCAGACATCGGAGCGGTCCCGCCAGCTCTTCGAGCTGAACGCTGCCACCGGAGAGATCCGGGTCTCGGGCAACCTGGACTTTGAGGAAGTAGCAAACCACGAGATGGTGGTCAAAGCCACCGACGGCGGGGGGTTGTCTGGACATTGCAAAGTGCATGTGGAGGTGCTGGACGTGAACGACAATGCCCCGGAGATAGCGCTCACTTCCCTCACTGTCTCCATTCCCGAGGACGCCCCGCCCCGGAGCGTGGTGGCCCTGATCAGTGTGCGGGACCGAGACTCGGGGGACAACGGCAGGACGGAGTGCGCGATCGACGGCGATTTGCCCTTCAATCTCACCCCCACTTTCGACAATTACTACGAGCTGCGCACAAACGCGGCCCTGGACAGGGAAAGGACGGCGGAGTACAACATCACCATCATAGCCACGGACTGGGGCAGATCTCGGCTGAGTTCTCGGGAAAGCATCTTCGTGCAGATATCCGATGTGAACGACAATCCCCCGGAGTTCACACAGGACGTTTACACCTTATCAGTGAACGAGAACAACAACCCCATGCTCCGGATCGGCAACGTAAATGCCACGGACGCCGATGCGGGTAAAAATTCCCGTGTGAGCTACGCTCTGGTGCGAGACGACAAAGAGCAGCCCGACGTGTCGATCAACTCTGAAAATGGGGACGTTTACATCCTCCGCCCACTAGACTACGAAGAGGTGCGCGCCATCGAGGTGACCGTGCGCGCCGCCGACGGGGGCTCGCCGGCGCTCAGCGCCGAGGCGCTGCTGCGGGTCCTGGTGCGGGACGAGAACGACAACGCGCCCGTCGTGCTGCACCCACCTCCCGACGGCAGCGCGGCAGCGGGCGAGTTGGTGCCACGCTGGGCGCAGGCAGGTTACCTGGTGGCCAAGGTGGTGGCGGTGGACGCGGACGCGGGACAGAACGCGTGGCTGTCCTACGAGCTGGCCAAGGCGACGGAGCCGGGGCTGTTCCGCGTGGGGCTGCACAGCGGTGAGGTGCGCACGGCGCGGGCCGTGACCGAGCGCGACGCGCCCAGGCACAGGCTGGTCGTGCTGGTGCGAGACCGCGGGCAGCCACCGCGCTCCTCCACTGCCACCCTCACCATCACCCTGGTGGACGGCTTCTCTGAAGCCCACTTGCGTGTGAGCGAAGAGGCGCCGGCCACCGATCCCGACGGGAGGCTCACCCTGTACCTCATCATCTGCTTGTCCTGCGTGTCCGCGCTGTTCCTGGCCACTGCAGCGGCCGCCGTGGTTGTGAGGTTGCGGCGGGCCAGGCAGAGCATGGCGGGGCCCTTGCCCACTTTCCCGAAATCTGCCGCTGAGAGCAGCGCTGGCTCCTTGCCCCGTAGCTATGTATACGATGTCTGCTTCGCCGCCGGGACTGTCAACAGCGAGTTCCGCTTCCTTAGGCCCCTCTTCCCCTGCTTCCCAGATGGGCTGCCCCACGGCCCGGGCGACCAGCGGAGCTCGGTGTGCTCGGCCAACCTCGGGGAAGAAGCCGACTGGGCTGCACAGGTGAGGGACCTGCGCGGGCCGAGGTGACGGGTGGGGGGGGGGGAGGGCGGGGAGGGAGCAGAGGGGTCGGGAATCATCCCTGAATGTAGAAGTGGGGCAGTAGGGAGCAGCAAAGTGGCGGAGCTGGTCCTGAAAGAGTCTCCGGGAAGATAGGAGTGGGTGGTGGTAGTGTCAGAGCCGCCGCCGCGCGCTCGGCTGTTCCCCAAGTGCGGTCTAACCGCGGCTCTGCATTCGGCTTCATGCCCTGGTCATTTGTGTGAGATTAAGTCTGTGGTGTCATCCCAAAGGCGGGGGTGGGGGGGCAGCTGGACCATGAGAAGATGTGAACCAGGAGGATGGATGCGGGAGCCACACAGTGGGTCCTGCCCACGTCTTGTGTAGAGTCCGTAGGGGCCGGGTGCAGGAACGACACCACTCCCGGAGACACTATCTCTGGTGTCGTGGTGTCCGTGTTCATTGGTAGCAACAGGGTCTACGGGGGCAGAGGTGGGTCGGGGTGTTACGCTTCTGATGGCGCCCCCTGCACTGTTATCAAGAGCTGGTGCACGGCGCTGGCAGCTGCCGCTTACTGGGATAGTGGTGCTGAAGCCAAGCTGTCTCACAATCTGCCGTGGTCCACGGCGCTATACATCATGAAAATCCGGTATATTTTTGTGGCCTTTGTTAACAAAAGCCACCAAAACAATTATTGGCCATCAAAAAAAAAAAAAATTGCCCACCAAAATATGGAGATCGGGGCTTTACAAGGCAACCTCTTTGTCCCTTCCTGGCCCAGCCGGGTGCTCTCCGACTGTACCAGTATCTCACTTCACGGTGCTGTGAACTTATAATGAGTCTTATCTAAGGCGTTTAACGTCCGTCTGTTCAAACAATATGGGGGAGACCAATAATGATTATCGAAACAGCTCCTCCTCTCCTCATTCTCACATTGAGTCCAAGTTGCCTCTAAAGGTGGGGTTATTTGTGTCTGATGCCCATCTAAAACTTCACGTGAGTCTGCAAAATGGACATATATGAGAAAGGAGACCCACAACCACCTTTTTATGGTCACTCCGTAACGTCTTCAAATTTAATAACCACTGATGACTTGGCCTCACATTACCACAGGTTCTCAGAACTGCCATGGCAGTGGCATTAAGAGGACACAAAGACCCACCACGAAATATCAACATTAAATCACGTTTTCTGTTTGCGAGAAACAGGTTTGGAGCTCTTCCTGTTTTAAATCCTCTTCTGCCTCCCCCATTCCCCTCCCCCCCCCCCCCCCCCCCCCAAATTAATAAAAACTTTCCAGTGGTGACTTTTTGTTGTCCATATAGGAGGACGCTTTAGGGCTTTTATTTTACCTCGTTCAGGTCAGAGACCTGACTCCCATCCTTCCTCCCTCTTTGACTCACGCACTGGTTTAAGACAAGCCCTCTAAGCGTCTCGCTGACAGCTGCTTACCCTCGACGTCCAAATATCAACACTCCATTCTGCTCTTCGCAGGGTCGAGTTCCCCTCTCTGAAGGCACGGGTCCCAGGCCAGCAGAGGAAAATGCCAGTTCTGATCAAAATCCTTGGCTCACCCATCAGTAAGTGAGGAGAAAGACAAACATCTTGGTCCTCACTGGCTAACGTCCTCACAGGGAAAGGAGAGCAGAGAGACGGAACATGCACCAAAAAAGTACCAGTGAGGTACAAGTCCTCTGTGAGACAGCAAGGACTCTCATCTTAAACAGTATTTTGTTCATATAGGTATTTTGAAATTGTGATAAGGATGGAGGAGGACTATGTTGCATGCTGATTACACTGAGACTTGATGTATGCTTGTGAGAGAGTGCTATTTCTCCTGAATGTTAAGGGAAACATGAAAACAGAAACATGTTCAAGATATGCTTTTCCTACATCAGCTTTTCTGTATTATTTGTTATTGTGAAGAGGGCTCCTTCATAACGTTTTGGTTTTCTGCTACTTGTTGAATGCCAGGTCATACAGCTATTAAATTAAATGAGGCTTGCAAGGGAATTTTTAATAACAAACATAAGGAAATTACTTTCGAAGTGGCTGACATTGGCACACTGTAATCGATCATGAGTTTACACGTTGTCCATGAAGTAGAGTGGTCTTTGAGCACTGTATTCCCTTTCTAAATTTGTTTCGTTTTCTTTCATAATAAAGCCGAAATCAACAGTTAAAGAACGTTTCAGGATTATCGAATATAAGGTAGTAGAGAATTAAAAATACTGTTTGTGTTTTAACAGTAAAACGTTAACAATAATCTGAAGGCACTCTAGAATATAGAAAGTCAAGGAGCATTCCGTTTTCCTTTACTTTCATTAATCGGTATTAAAATATAAAGTAAGGTAGTATTTCCTGTCACTCACACGTTTAAAAGAGTAAAACTCCTGATGACAAAATAAACAATAAAAGGTACCTGTAAATCCCTCGTGTGAGTGTGCTATCTCAAAGACCACTTGTCACAGTAATCGCCTAGGTAATACCCACCCCAAGAGTTGTATTTTGAGAATAAATCCATGCATTAGAAGTGGGTATTTTACAAGGCAAATCAGAACATCTTGGGAAGAGGGTGTTCTTCTGCCAGAGCAGGGTGGGGTGGGTTTGTCTGAGTCGTGCTAAGATCGGTGAGAAAAGAGAGATGCTGCCCGAGCCCCTTTGCAAGGGCTTCTGGCCTGACAGGTTGTGAATCGGGAACAATTTCAATCCATTCGAGAAAACAGTCCAAAAACTAATAAAGGGAACCACCTAGCCATCACTGGCAAGGTTAATGGACCGGCTCATTCTGGATGCTGTACACAGCTTTTTAGCTAAAGGGCCTGAAAATCACTTATTCAGTATGCACAAAAAATCGGAGCCATTTTAGGGAAGGACACTAGGAAAAAGCAGCCTCAGATAGATCTCATTTTCAGATAAAAGGCAAAAAGAAGCATTGCTTATTCGAACTTTTAACAGAATAGTACTGGGAGTTAAAGATAGTTTCAGAGCAAGAAACCGAGCAGTTTGTCTCTTGTTTTTGCGGTTTTGCAGAGATCTCCGTGTACTTTCGCACGCCGGCCGCCTGGTGCCGCTGCTGACCGCAGAGGCTCTGCGTAGCTCCCGGCTCCACGACCCTTGGGCTCGACCAGCCGGGGCTGCTCCGCTCGGGGGTCAGCGGGATAGACCAACACCTCCATTCTGCTCACGGAGGGGGAAGGAAGGTTAGCCGAGAGGGAAATGGAGCTGAGAAAGAGGGAGGAACCGCTTCCAGGGCGAGCGTTGTTTGTAATACTGCTTCTCTGCGTGTCGGGGGGGAGAGCAGAAACCGCCCGGTACTCTGTGCCCGAAGAGGCGGCGAGGGGCTCCCTTGTGGGAAATATAGTTAAGGATTTGGGACTGACCGCTGAGGAATTGTCGACTCGACAGGTTCGAATCGTTCCTGAAGGAGAAAAACAGTATTTTCAACTGGATCAGCACACCGGGGATTTGTTTGTGCGAGAACAGATGGATCGGGAGGAGCTGTGCGGGCAGAGCGAGCCCTGCCTGGTACGTTTCGATGTATTGTTGGAGGGTCCACTGCAGTCCTTCCGCGCCGAGGTAAGCCTCACAGACATTAATGATCATGCTCCCGTGTTCTTAAATAAAGAGATAATTTTAAAGATCTCGGAAACTACAAAGCCGAAAGCTCGTTTTTTACTGGAAAGCGCTCAGGATCCAGATGTGGGGAACAACAGTGTTCACCATTACAACATCAGCTCGAACGGTTATTTCCATATCTACACTCGGCAGCGTAGTGACGGCAGGAGGCACGCTGAGCTGGTGTTGGACAGAGAGCTAGACCGGGAAAAGCAGGCAGAAGTGGTTTTTAGCATCACGGCTGTGGATGGTGGGTTTCCACCGCGCTCTGGTACAGCCGTTATCCGCGTGGTAGTCCTGGATGCAAATGACAACATTCCAGTATTTACGCAGAGTCTGTATAAGGTCCGAGTATTAGAAAATAGCTCCGAGGATACCTTGGTGGCAGTCGTGTCTGCTAAAGATTTAGACTCAGGAATGAACGGGGAAATAGCCTATTCCATAGTTCAAAATTCAGAGGATAATCGAGAGACATTTAAAATAAATTCAGAGACAGGGCAGATTCGACTCAAAAAACCACTGGATTATGAAGAAATAAAGACCTACGAGATAGACGTTCAGGCCACGGATGGAGGAGGCCTGTCTGCGAACTGCAAGGTGGAGGTGGGGGTGCAGGACGTGAACGACAACGCCCCCGAGGTAACAATCACCTCCCTCACCAGCAGCCTCTCCGAAGCAGCCCAGCTGAACACGGTGGTGGCCCTCTTCAGCGTGCGGGACCGGGACTCAGGGGACAACGGCAGGACGAGCTGCGAGCTGCTGGGCGAGCAGCCCTTCAGCATTTTGCCGCTGGTGGGTGAAGCGTACGCGCTAGTGACATTGGAGGCGTTGGACCGAGAGAAGGTGTCGGGGTACAACGTGACGGTGCGGGCCAGTGACGCGGGTACTCCTGCACTCTCAACATCGAAGACGCTGGTGGTGCTGCTCTCGGACGTGAACGATAACGCGCCCACCTTCTCCCAGGCCATTTACAACATGGTGCTACGTGAAAACAAGCCCGCTGGGACGATCCTGGGCCGCCTTAATGCCACAGACGCCGACGCGGGTGAAAACGCCCTTGTGAGCTACATGCTGGTGCTGACTCCACTGGAGGTCTCCGCTGCGCGGTCCTTCTTGTCGGTAGAGGCCGAGAGCGGCATAGTGCGGGCTCTGCATCCAGTGGACTACGAAGAGGTGCACGCCTTCGAGGTGACCGTGCGCGCCGCTGACGGGGGCTCGCCGGCGCTCAGCGCCGAGGCGCTGCTGCGGGTGCTGGTGCAGGACGAGAACGACAACGCGCCCGTCGTGCTGCACCCACCTCCCGACGGCAGCGCGGCAGCGGGCGAGTTGGTGCCGCGCTGGGCGCAGGCAGGTTACCTGGTGGCCAAGGTGGTGGCGGTGGACGCGGACGCGGGGCAGAACGCGTGGCTGTCCTACGAGCTGGCCAAGGCGACGGAGCCGGGGCTGTTCCGCGTGGGGCTGCACAACGGCGAGGTGCGCACGGCGCGGGCCGTGACCGAGCGCGACGCGCCCAGGCACAGGCTGGTCGTGCTGGTGCGAGACCGCGGGCAGCCACCGCGCTCCTCCACTGCCACCCTCACCATCACCCTGGTGGACGGCTTCTCTGAAGCCTTCCTGCAGCTTTCGCAGGCGCATGCGGGAAGCCCGCAGCAGGAAGAGGGCGACCACGACCTTCTCACTACCTACCTCATCGCCTCCCTCTGCTGCATCTCCTCACTCCTCCTTGTAGCCATCGCAGCCTTTTCGGGGACCACGCTGTGCAAGGGTCGCCTCTGCCCGGCGCTCCCGAACTCCTCTGCTCGCAGCTCTGCTGACAGCGACTTGACTGCCGACGCCAGGGACATGGCCGGCAGGGGAGATCTGTGGCCGGGCTACCACTACGAGATGTATTTGACCAACGACTCGGGACAGAGTGACTTCAAGTTCCTGAGGCCCGTCCTGCCGAGTCCTCAGAGTCCACCAGGCTGCGCGGAGGCTGGCAAGGGCAATATGCTTGAGTGCAGCCCGCAGCGCGCTGGCCAGAAGAGACCTGAGCAGGGGACAGCAGCCCCTCCGTCGCTCTAACTGCCTGCCTGCTCTCCTCAAGCCCGGGCGGTTGCAGCGCGCATGCCTGCACGGTAGAGCAGGAGGTGCCTTTGTGCTTGCACCTGTCTGGGAGCGTTTCCCATGTCTCGTCCCCACCATGCGATCTCGAGTAGATGTAGTGATGTGCTGTTTTTCTGCGTGCACAATACCTGATAGGGAGATCCACGCGGAGGCCCCTTCCTGGTTTCTCAGAGCAGAGAAGGCGGACAGGTGCCTCCGGAAAAAGCCTCCGCCTCGCTGTGCGGGGTTGAAAGGCCTTCTCCTAGTCTTCGGGCTTTGTGTTTGTCCTTGTCCTTCTCCTTGGCCCTCGGAATTGTGTTTGTCGTTGTGTTACGGTTGGGTTTGTGGCAGGGTGCCGAGGTTGGCATCATGGCGGGCTCTCGCAGATTGTAGAGGGCGGAGAGGCTGCGGAGCTGCGGGCGCTACCGGTGCGTTTGCGTCAAGCTCGGCGTTTTCTCCCGCTGCAGGCTTTGCCTTTGCTTTTGAGTGTGTGCGGCGGGCAGCGGGACATGTGCACATGTGCCCGATGGAGCGTGGCTGCAAGAGGCAGCGGCCAGGACCGCGTCCCGACCAGGAGCAGTCCACAAGGAGAGGTGAAAAGTCTTTCACTTGGGGAGAAAGAATCCCTTGTTCCATGAAAGCTGCCTGGTGGAAAAGGCCCAGGGGTCCCGATGGACACCAAGAGGAACCTGAGGCAGCATCATGCCCTTGTCATAAAGAAGGCTAATGATATCTCACGTTGCATCAGTGGAGTATCTCAAACAGGTTAGGGAAAATCGTCCTTCCCATCTGATCACCACTGATGAGGCAAGACCCTGCCTAGTGTTTCAGAGATGAAAGGGATCTAGCTCATGACACTTACCCTTGTTTCCTGGAGATTAAAACTGCACTTGTAATTGTCCTAGCAAATGACCCTCTAAGAAGTCAGATGAATGATTTTCTTCACCCCCCAAGAGAAAATTAAATTAAATTAAATTAAAGAAATTAAAGTTTCCTCCCTTCAGGAAATATGTTCCATCTCGGGAGTAGCTTTTCTGAAATGCTTCATAAGTAGAGTTTGGCTCTTTATATTGGCTCTTTAAGTTCTTTGTCTTGCTAAAGAGTTTCGTTCCTTAAATTCTTTGTCCTGCTTGTTAGGGAGCAAGTGGACCTCATCCTGTCCTTTTTCTGGGATGTAACACAAGGGTGAAATTGGGCAACAGTCATTCTCATGGTAATGCCCCTTGGCCATCCTTCCTTAAAAGCAAAGCGAGTCACGCTCTTGTAATGCACTTTAGCCTTGTCCCCATGGCAGCAGGGAAAGGATGGTGTGAGTCCTGTGTTTCAATGCAGCACAAGTACTGCTCTCTTTCTTGGCTGGTTCCTGGATCTCTGTGTCTGAGATGCATGGGCCGTGTGTGCATTTGTGATGTGTGCTTCTCCAGTTTGGCCAGCAAGAGAGATGCTTAGACAGAGTACTATCACCTCCAGGGCACAGAAAAAACGTGCACAACCTGAGATAGAAAGGGTGGGTTGTCTGTATTCTGGAGATTACCTCAAAGCTCTAGAAGTACTCATGATACTGGGAATGATGGTAACTGTAAAGCAGTCTGAACTTCAGTTTGCCTGGACTCAGATTGACCGGCAAGAAACTGCCGGACTTTTGTGAAAGGCTGCGAGTCGGCGGCCAGGAGCGCGTCCCGTCCCGGAGCAGTCCCGCCGCAGGCCGCAGGGTGGTGCTCGTGGCCAAGGCGGCGGCGAGCGGCTGCGAGCGGGGAGGCGGCCGAGCCCAGCGCAGCGCAGCGCAGCGCAGCCGGGAGGCGGCGGCGAGCGGTCGTCCGCGCCGTCCTCCGCAGCAGCCGCTGCCGGTCCCGGAGTGCCGCGCTGCGGGCCGCCAGCCGAGCTCGGCGAGAGGGAGAGAGGGAGGCCGCGAGGGAGGGCGCCCGCCCTTGGCGCCGCGCTGCTGCCGGGCGCCGCTTCCCGCGGAGGACTGCGGCAGACGGAGGGTGTCCGCCGCCCCGCCATGGCGTCTGCAAGGCAAGTGCTTTGTCTGTGTGCTTTGCTGTGCGTGCCGCGCGTTCGCTGCGAGCCCATCCGCTACTCCGTAGCCGAGGAGGGGGAGAGCGGCTCCGTGGTGGCCAACGTGGCGGAGGACGCGGGGCTGACGCCGGCGCAGCTGTCGGCTCGCCGGGCACGCATTGCCTCCGCGGACGGCCGGCAGCATTTTCGCTTAGAGCGCGCCACCGGCCGCCTCGTCCTGGCGGAGCGGCTCGATCGCGAGGAGATGTGCGGCCGCTCGCTTACCTGCACGCTCGCCTTCGAGCTCCTGCTGGAAAACCCGCTGCAGTTCTTTCGTGTCGAGGTGGCCGTGGAGGACGTCAACGACCACTCGCCGGTCTTTCCCGAGGAACGAGTCACTTTTCAGATCTTGGAAACCAGCGACCCTGGCTCGCGTTTCCCCGTGGAGGCGGCTCAGGACCTGGACGTTGGCAGCAACAGCATCCAGGCTTACACCATCGCTCCCGAGAACGAGTACTTCAGTGTCTCTTTCGGGACTCACGGTGACGATGACAATTATGTAGATTTGGTCTTAGATCAAACACTAGACAGAGAGGAGCAGCCAGAGCTACTTTTCAATCTCATTGCCACAGACGGTGGCTCTCCACCTAGGACCGGGACCACCCAAATCCACATCGTAGTTCTAGATGTAAATGACAATGCTCCTACCTTTACACAGAAGCATTACATTGGACGTGTTTTGGAAAATGTCACAATAGGTTCTGTGATTCTCAGCGTTGTTGCAACAGATCCAGACATGGGAGTGAATGGTGACATCTCCTATAGGTTCAGCAATGTTCCTGAGGACAGCCAGTCCACATTCACAATTGACAATATGAGTGGTGAAATTCGAGTTGCAAAACCCCTGGACTTTGAGACCACACAGAAACATGAGTTCCGTGTGAGGGCAACTGATGGTGGGGGCCTCTCAGCACTCTGCAAGGTGTTGGTGGAAGTGGTGGATGTGAATGACAATGCACCAGAAGTGGTGATCAGTTCCTTCAGCAACCCCCTCCCTGAGAACACAGAGCCTGGGACAGTGGTAGCTGTATTTTCTGTCAGAGACAGGGATTCCGGTGTGAATGGGGAGATCAGCTGTGCCCTTAAAGACCAGCTCTCCTTCTCCCTGAGACCAGCCTATAAGAATTACTATGAGCTGGTGACCATGAGCACAGTGGATCGGGAAGAGACAGCTCAGTACCTTGTGGTCATCACAGCGGCAGACACAGGTTCTCCTCCTCTCACCACTACCCAGACCTTCACTGTGGACGTCTCCGATGTCAATGACAATGCCCCTGTCTTCAACCAGACATCATACACCATGTATGTGCGAGAGAACAATATCCCTGGAGTGCTTGTTGGGGCTGTCAATGCAGTGGACTCAGATGCAGGACCCAATGCCAAGGTGACCTATTCCCTGAGGCCTGTGCACCCCACTGAGCAGGACCCCTGCTCCTGCATCTCCGTGAACTCAGAGAACGGACATGTGTTTGTGCTGCGTCCACTGGACTATGAGCAGGTGAGGCAGCTTGAGGTGCTGGTGAGTGCCACCGATGCGGGGTCCCCTCCCCTCAGCACCAACGTCACCGTCCGCCTCCTCGTTGTGGACGAGAACGACAATGCCCCACTGGTGTTGCACCCTGCTCAGGACAGCAGCCCGCCATCCAGTGAGCTGGTGCCAGCGTCGGCTGAGGTGGGGGACCTGGTCACCAAAGTGGTGGCCGTTGATGCGGACTCTGGTCAGAACTCGTGGCTTTCCTTCCACCTGCTGAGGGCCACAGACCCCGGGCTGTTTGCTGTGGGTAGCCAAAATGGGGAGGTGCGTCTGAGGAGGCCAGTGACAGAGAGGGATGCCGTGAAGCAGAAGCTCGAGGTGCTGGTGCGTGACAATGGGCAGCCACCTCTGTCAGCCACTGCAGCACTGAGCGTACTCCTGCTCAAGGGCCTCTCACAGGAACACCTGCCACAGCAGGAGCTTGCTGTGCAGGATGAAGACAGCTCCCTGACAATCTATTTAATCGTTTCACTGGTCTTTGTCTCCCTCCTCTTCCTCACATCTGTCGCAGCCTTTGTTGCTTGCAAGGTGTTCAAGAGAAAGGAGCTGAAAGGAGGGCACATGCTGTATGGCACGGGCAACTTGCAGAGCAGTCTTGCTGCTGGGGCTGCTGCTGGGACCCTGCCCCATGCCTACTGCTATGAGATCAACCTCACCACGGGGTCGGGCAACAGCGAGTTCAAGTTCCTGAAGCCCATCCTTCCCAGCCTGCCACCACAGCACTCTGGCACAGGCAGGGGTGTTGGTGACACAGAGGATTTCCTGCCCATCCAGAACTCCATGGGGGATGCAGCCCTGGACATCTCTGGTACACCATCTGTTGGACACTTTAATGGCCTTCCTTTTAACTAGGTCTGGGTCCACGCAGTTAAAGGCTACATGTCTTTGAGCTAGAAGGGATCTGGCTAATGATATTCAGTCTTGTTTCCTGGAGATTAAAACTGCATTTGTAATTTTCTTTCACAAGTGACCCTCTAACACTAAGTCAGATATATGTTTTTCTTCTCCCCTCCAAAAATATTAGAAATTAATAAAATGTATATATAATAGAACGAAGGTCTTTTTGCTCAGACAAAGATGTTTTTCAGGGCTAATATTGGTGCCTCATGAGGAAGGTTTGATTCAGGCTCCCAACTTAAGTGCTTGTCATTAGGAAAACCTTAACTGTCACCCTGTCTTTGTCTGTTTGATGAAACACAATGTTGAGGTTCTGCAGATGACAGTGCAGTATAGCCCTCCTCCCTTGTCTGCAGGGAAGAAAGGTGTTAGCCCTGTGTATCACTGCAGTGCAAGTGCTACTCTTTCTTTGCTGAGTCCTGGATCTCTCTGTGTGAGGCATGTTGGCACCATGCGGTTTTGCACTATGTGGTCTTCCACCTCAGTTGGCATGAACCATGTATTTCACTGGGTTCTGCCATCTCATCTTCTCCAGGGCACAGCAAATACATGCAGAGCCAGACTTTGCAGTGGTCCATGTGCTTGGGAGTGACTCAAAGCTATAGCAGGACTAATGATTCCAACATAGACACTACTTATACATAGCTTTGACCCTGATCATTGTGTTTGGGTGGATGGCAAGGCATCTTGACACATTGCCTCAGAGGACATTACTCCACAAGGCAGAAGAAAGATAGGCTTTAAAAAGGAATGTCTTTTTTTGTGTCATTTTTTTCATTCTTGCTTGAAAGGGTTCCTCAATGAAAGGGAAGTGCTACCATGGTCTGGTTTTCCAAGTTTTTCTTAGAATGCTTACATCTTCCTTTTTTTCCCTTTCTCCTTTCTCTGTGTATTTAAACATTGTCTTATGAATTCCCCTTAAGAAGGGCTGATACCCAACCTATAACAATGGTTTCTTGGAAAGGAGGTGTTCTGGGACTGGGTACATAAACACCCTCATGATCTGTTGTGCTGCATTATACACTGTATTATTTTTAGGCTAGTATACCCTTGTCTGTAAAAGTGAAATTGAACGAATGCCCAAGTGCCATTCTGGCAATAAAAAGGATGCTGCTGTGGAGAGAGTCTTTGTAGTATTGTTCTTATCAGGAAGGCTCTGTAAAGGATCCATGGTTTTTCCAAAGTCTGGGTGCTTTTTTATTTATTATATATATTTTTACTTGGTTCTTTTATTGAGGTATTATTCTGTGGGAACTTGTCCTCTACCTAGAGTTGTGACTGCTAGTGCCTGAAGTAAAAGGGTGGGTAGCAAGGATTTGCTAGAAGACCTCTTGTGAGTCTTGTGAAACTGAGCATATGTAGCTGAACAGGTGGGCCCAGAAGAGTGGTGATCAGTGGCATAAAGTCCTGTTGGATGCCAGGAACTCTTGGTGTACCCCATGGATCAATACAGATCGCATTGTTTAATGTGTGTGGGATTTGCTGCTCCACCTGGATCCAAACAAGTCCATGGTTTTAGATGAGATTCATCTCAGGGTGCTCAGAGAGCTGACTAACATCATAGTGGGAATTCTCTCAATGATTTTTCAATGTTCTTGGGAATCGGGAGAGGCCCCAGTTGATTGGAAGCTGGCAAATGTTGTACCAGTTTTCAAGAAGGGCAAGAAAGAAGACCCTGAAAACTACAGGCCTGTTAGTGTCATGGCAGTGCAAGGTAAAATTATGGAGATAATCCTGGGAGTTATTGAATCACACCTGGGGGACAACACAGTCATTGGTCCCAGCCAAGATGGCTTCATGAGGGGTAGGTTCTGTTTAACAAATTTGATTTCCTTTTATTATGAGATCACCCATCTAGTCGTTGAAGGGAAACCAGCTGCTGTAATCTTTTTGGATTTCAG